TTAATGTGTGTATGTATTTATTTTCAAATTGTTGAGGTAACTTGGTTCAGATTTAAAATTTTAAGACTTTGAAATCACTGCCACTTGATCTCCACTGTTTTTTTTCCTTTTTTTTAAATGAGAAATTATTTATTTATTTTATTGAGGATTCGTTGTACACAAAGAGTGCCTTCCCTGTTGTTGCTTTCAAGATTTTGTCTTTTCTTCCAGCAGTTTGTTTCTCATGTGTGTTGGTTAGGATCTCTTTAAGTTTATTCTATTTGGAGTTTGTTGAGCTTCTTGAATATGTAGGTTAAAATTTTATATAAAATGTGAGAAGTTTTTGGCCATTATTTCTCCATATATTCTGTCTTTTTTTCTTTCTTCTGGTATTTCATTATATGTTTTGTTGGTACGTATATATGATATATGTTGGTACGTTATAAGAACATGAACTCTTAGGCTCTGGTTTGTTTGTTTGTGCCCTGTTCCTTTTCTTTTGTTTCTCAGACAGAATATTGTCAACTGACTCCTCTTCAAGGTTGCAGCTTTTTTCTTCTCTCAACTCAAATTTGTTGTTGAGCCCTTTTGTGAATTTTTTTTTTTTAAGATTTTGTTTTTTAAAAAAAATTTTTTTTTCAACGTTTTTATTTATTTTTGGGACAGAGAGAGACAGAGCATGAACGGGGAGGGGCAGAGAGAGAGGGAGACACAGAATCGGAAACAGGCTCCAGGCTCTGAGCCACCAGCCCAGAGCCCGACACGGGGCTCGAACTCACGGACCGTGAGATTGTGACCTGGCTGAAGTCGGACGCTTAACCGACTGCGCCACCCAGGCGCCCCTAAGATTTTGTTTTTTTAAAGTAATCTCATGCCCAACGTGGGGCTCAAACCCACAACCCAGAGATCGGGATTTGCATGCTCTATCAACCAGTCCAGTCAGGCACCCCATCTAGTGAATTTTTTATTTCAGTTTTATACTTTTCATTTGTAGAATCTCTATAGGATTCTTATGTTTTCTGTCTCTTCAGTGATATTCTCTATTTGGTGAGACGTTCTTATACTTACCTTCAGTTCTTTAGAAATAATCTCCTTTACTTATTTTCGACATACTTATAATAGTTGATTTCAAATATTCATCTAATAAGTTCAGTCTCTGGGCTTCCTTTAAGGATAGTTTCTGATGACTGATTTTTGTGTTTTTTTTCTCTGTATGGGCCATATTTTCTTGCTTCTTCACGTGTATAAATTTTTTGTTGAAACGAGTCATTTAAAATAATATATTGTGCACCTTTGGACATCACAGTCTGTTTTTCTCTGCAGATTTGTTGTTCTTGGTGTTTGTTCCTCCCTGCTTGTTTAGTAATTTTCCTGAACTAATTCCATAAAGTCTATATTTTTTTCTTATGTGTATGGCTACTGAAGTCTCTACTTGGTTAGCATAGTGTCCAGCTAATGATTTGATAGACATTTCCTTGGATGCCTTAAACCAACCAGTCAGCCTCGCAGCCTTTGCTGAAGTGCTGAAGTGTATGTTGGGGAATGTTTTCCGTGTTCTGGTGGGCAGTTTATGCATCTCTGCCTTCCCCTTTTCTGTCTGCTTGTGCAGAGCGTCAAGGTCAGCCAGCGATGAGACATTAGTGTGTTCTCAGGTCTTTTCTTAGACTTTCCTACAGTCTTGCACCTATGCATAGTCTTTCAGATTCCCAGGAATGTGTCAGATTTTTTTCAAAGTCCCCTGTGGACATCTCATTCTCCATTTTTCTTTGTAAGTTTTTTGGTCGGTGTCTTTGTCCCAGTTGTCGTCATTTTAGGCAGCTGCCATGTTAAGCAGTTGTTGCTGATTCTTTTTGATCTTGGCTTCAGGCGTAAGAGTCTCTCCTACTGAATGTGCTGTGAATCATGTAAAATAAAACCCTGCGAATGGGGATTCTAGGATATGCCAGACAGGTCAAATCATTACAGTTCTCTTGGAATGGGGATTTTTATGGTGCTCCAGACTTGCTCAGCTCTTCCCAGTGGCTTCGAGGCTGCTGGTTTTCAAACTATTATGATTGTGAGGCTGTTGATTTTCAGCTGGTGAGTTGGTGATGGAAATAAGACACAGCAAAACAGTGAAAAGCTTGCTGTCCTTACCAAGATTGAGCAGTTTTTCTTGAAGAGGGCTCCTTGGACTGTAGCAAACCTTTGTTTAATTTCCAGAGCTTTGAAAAACTTGATTTTGACATATTTTGCGAATGTTTGCTTTGCTCTTTGGAGGAGCAGATTTTCTGTCATTTTGAAGGTCTCCTTCCCTGTTTGCTTTTATAATCGCACTATTTTCTTTATCTCTTTGGGAGTATTAATGATATATTTTAAAAACTTCTCATTCTTCTTCTTTCCTCTGAATTGGGATTCTGGGGTATACGTTTGTTCATCTTGGGACTCCCTATTTCACTTTAGAAGCTTTGCTCACGCATCTTTGAATTGGTTTGTCTGCTCACATTTAAGAGTAGTAGACTAAAAAGTCACTTAGCTCTGAGTGTATGACTGGAGCTTGTTGACTGTGAGCTTACTAGTGCTTTTAGGAAATTATTTTAAATTTATATTATAGGTTATTCTAGGAAGGAATAACTAGATCTCACACTAAAAAAAAAAAGCAATGCCAGTTGGGATTGAGGAGTTGGATATAAATTTTGAGTTCAGAAAAACCAGGAAGAAATGGTACCAGTTATTTGTGAGAATAGTAAAGAAATTTAATTCAGATTTGAGATCCAGAGATTTCACAGACAAAAATGAAAAACACTTGGTGGCTTCAGAGGGTAATCGTTACTTCGACACATCATTCAGTGTCTCTGAATGTATAAAACTCACCCTTTTTGGCTTGTGCAAATTCGCTGGTCCCAGGGAGGCGTTGTGTATTGCTGTGTTCAGAGCTAGCAGACGAAAGCCATTCCTAAGGAATGCTCTGTTGGGGTTAGACTGTCCTGAAGCCAGGTTACTGATCTCTTGAGGTGGTAGCCTTCTTAGGAGCCGCCGTATAGGCATCGCTGAGTAGAGAATGAGGTGCAGCTACTGAGACGGGTGTGGGTAGAGGAAAAGGCATGCCTTCCCGAGGGATTTCTGCATGAATGTGCAGGTACCGAAAAGGCAGCAATCATTTTAGCCCTCTCATCCCTAGTTGTTTGGGCCTGCTAGTTGGAGGGAATGTGGCCCCAGTGAGTGGACATTATCCCAGATGGAGCGTCTACAGTCTTGTTCTCAGTTGCCATTGACAAGGTGACTACTCTACCAGGAACGGATGAAATACTTGCCCCTCGCAGTAATTTTAGGACCAGCGAGGCTAGAGGTATACCTTGTCCCTACCTTGCAAACTTGCAGGCATGCTCACGTCAGAGGGTGTAGTTGTGACACAATAAAGCGGTAAGTTGGTCAGGGCATGCCCTGGCAACCTGTGTAGTGATGATATTTATGCGCTTTTTTATGCCACTGGAGATCTTTGGTGCTCATAAAAGGGAAGGTGATGGAAACATCATAGGAAATTGATTCTAAGACATTTTTCCAGATCTTTAGTAGCCTCTGGATTTGAAAGTGAGTTTTACTCATATCTGGTCCTCAGGTGACACAAGTTTTTTGTAATTCAGTGGTGCCAACTTTGATTAATTGGTAGTGGCTGCCTGGAGCAGGTCGGGGAAGGATTTTGAGGCTACATCTGGGCTTAGATGGAAAGATGGGCCAAGAAGATTGATCTCTGCCCTGGTGTGGCAAGGGGGAGAGGCAGTGTGTCAGGCCCCTTTATCCCCTCCATTTTACCTCTCTTTGCTGATGCGTAGTTTTGGCTCCCCTGTGACTTAGAATGTAACATCCTAAGTAGGAAAGAATGAAGTAGAAGCTGTGGAAATTAGGGACTTTACACACCTCAGCGTCTGGCCAGCTCAGTACTAGACTCGGTGAATGAACTCTGAAGGAACGGAGGCCAGAATGTGTGCAGTTTCTGTAGCGAGGGCAGGAACAGTCTTCACGCCGTGATGTAACTCTCCTGCATGACGTACAGAATACCAAAAGTACTTGGTTCCCATCCCTGTCCTGAAGAAGAGTCCATTCTAGTTGCGAAGAAAAGACAAACATGTTTGAAATGATTAGAGCTTGTATGACAGAATGGTTTGTAAGCAAGTGCTAAAATTTCTAGCCGGGTCCCTGGAATGGGTGGTGTAGGTTTGAACGCAAAAATATATTGCTTTCGAATCTCTGCCTTTACGCTTATTCCAGTGTGTCTGTTTTGGCTTGGGAAAGCCTAGTTTTTTCTTGACTTTTTCTACCAGGCGAGATTAGCACCCATCTACCCCACCCCATTTTCCTCTCATTATTGGTGTCACTAGGATGGACTATTTTGACTGGTTAAGGGATTTTGTTTCAATTAAAGTGTCAAGGTGAAAATGATCCATTAATAGAAAATGTCATGTAGATTTTTTTCAATTAAAGATTACCTAGTCACTGTTTGTTTCTGGAGAAATTACTCAAGCATTTCTGAATTAAGCGTAAGTCACAGAAAAGCCTTTATATTGTAATGTTGGTGCATTTGAACAATAACAGTCTGTGCTTAGAAATAGGAGAAATACAGGCTTTTCATAATGTATACATTTTGTGTCAAGTAGTCAGTTTAATGCAGTGTCTGAGATCACGGGCTCTGGATTCTTACTCTCCGGGCTAGCATCTCTACCCTGTGTTACCCTAAGCAAGTTACTGGGTCTTGATTTCTTCATCTGTAAAATGGGGATGATAATCTCATACATGGCTGTGGTAAGGATTAAACAAGATTTTTCAGAGAGAGCCCTAAGTCAGCGCTTGGTCTGTAAGTGCTTGATTATTATTGGATGTTATTAATGTTATTAATGTAGTTACTGTTTTTGTTATTAAGTGGGTTTATATCATTGACTTTTTTTTGGACTGTGATTCAGTTTCACATGAGTGTTTTAATATAATTGACTGTGAACAGTGATTGTTAACAGTCTTTACATCTATGTGTGCTTTTTCTCATACAGGTTGAATGTAATTTTTACAAAATTTGATGAAGTCCAAAAATCTGGAAACATGATCCAATCAGCAAACGGTGAGTAGAAAAAGCAGTTGTTCTATTTTTGCCTTTTCAGTTTTCGGTCCGAAATGCTCGTGCTATTTCTGAACAGCTGAATTTGATACCTTGAGAACAGTTTCTAGGTCTGAAGACTTAACCTCCATTGACCCTCCCCCTTTCCCAGGCCAGAGGCTATGAGGTTGTTGGCCTTCTTTTGCAGCTCGCACTGAATTCGGGAACTAATCCTGTTGGCTTTACTGTTACAAGCACATTTGGACTCCCTGGGCCTCTGCCGCAGCCGTTGCCCTTCTCCTGCTACCGAGCTGTCGTGCTCTTTTCCCTGTGCTCTCACGGTAGACACGCAACCACTGTCCTTGCTGTTACTCCCTCCCGGCGCCCCCGGGCTGTTTTCCATACAGCCATCAGAGGGATCCTTCTGTTTTTATTATTTTTTAATTTTTGAAATTTAAGTAGGCTCCACGCCCATCATAAGGCTCGAACTCACGACCCTGAGACGGAGTCACACGCTCTGCCAGCTGAGCCAGCCAGGCGCCCCCAGAGTAATCCTTTTAGAATGTAACTCTCCTGGTGTTAATCCCCTGTTCAGAATCCTCCAGAGGTTTTCCATCACACAGAGACAGCAGTTCGGTGGCTCACCATGGCCCACCAGGCCCTGACACGATCTGACGCTGGCTACCATTCTGATATCATGAGAGGTTCTTCTCCAAGGTTCTCTTGGCTCTACTTCCATTGGCCTCCTTACTAATTTTGAACATTCCACGCTTCTCCTGCTTCAGGGCCTCTGTGCTTACAGTTCTTTCTGCTTGAAACATTTGTCCCCTGGGTGTCCCCGTGGCTCTCTTTCTCATTCCATCCAGATCTCGGCTGCAGACACACTCCATTACCGAGGTCAGCCAGTATAGCATATCCAGTGTTCTAAGGGTACTCTGTGCCTTCGTCCTGTTTAATGTTCCTTCTTACTGCGTATCACTGCAAGATGTTTGTTCACGAGGGCAAGGACTTTGTATTATTCCTTTCTTTACCTTTAGTGCCTCAAAAGGTCCCTGGCATGTGGTATAGGTGTGCAATAAATATTGTGGAATAAATAAACAAAATAACTTAGACTTGAATTGTGACTTACTGTTTCTGGTACCTTTATTCCTTTCACTGTACCTTGTGAGGATGTTTGAGGACAAATGGATATGTCTTGTGATTCCAGAAGGGGAAGAAAAGACAAGCGAATCACTGTATGAGTGAAGTCCTCATAAAGCAGTTGCCAACAAGGACTTTTTCTAACTCTCAGATAGCTCATTGCATCATGGTGATTTCAGGGCTCTTAGATCACCACATAGCTTTCACGTTTTGAATATCTTGAGGTTGTAAAAAAGAGTTTGTCACTTTCAGGAAAGTTCCTCCTAGTACATAAAGGCAGAGCAGAAACAGGATCCAGGTCTTTTGACCTCTGCTCAGCTGTGTATCTACCATATCAGTAGGGAATTTGTCATTGGATAGTATGTTTCTTATAAAATGCTTAAAGACCTCTAAACATACTTTCATTAATCCCTCTTAACTTCTCTTTCATATGTTTGTAAAAATGTAATATTAAGAGGGGAAAAAGAATATTTACTATTATTATGCTATCACCAACAAATCAGTTTTCATTTATTTCATATTCACTTGTAGTTCATTTTCTGTAACTATATAATTTGTATGTAATTTTATTATGGCATAATTTCTGTACATTGCCCCCTACTTTAAAAAAAAAAAAAAAAGAACTTATTTATTTATTTATTTTGAGAGAGGGAAGGGCAGAGAGAGAGAGAGAGGGAGAGAATCCCAAGCAGGCCCAGCACTGTCAGTGCAGAGCCTGACATGGGGCTCCATCTCAATGAAACGCAAAATCATGACTGAGCCGAAATCAAGAGTCAGATGTGTAACCAGCTGAACCACTCAGGCACCCCTATTCATTTTTCTTTTAAAGTTTACTTATTTGAGAGAGAGAAAGAGCGCATGCGCGCAAGCAGGAGAGGGGCAGAGAGAGAATCCCAAACACTCTCAACCCTGTCAGTGCCAAGCTCAGTATGGGGCTCGATCCCATGAACCATGAGATCATGACCTGAGCTGAAATCAAGAGTTGGATGCTTAACTGACTGAGGCCCCCAGGTGCCCCTGAAGATTTTCTTTTTGAGTAATCTCTCGTCAACATGGGGCTTGAACTTAAAATCCCAAGATCAAGAGTTGCCTGACCTCCCAACTGAGCCAGCCAAATGTCCCATCCCTTGCTTTTGTATATACTTTTATATGTGCTTTACAATGTATCTGTGGTGGAGCTAGGACCAGGACTCTGGCCATCCAGTGATGAGTGGCACTGCTGGTGTGGCCAGGCAGGGCAGCCCAGCTAGTTGCAAGACACGGGCTCCCAAGTGTGTGTGTGTGTGTGTGTGTGTGCGTGCACGTAGTTGGTGTGTTTTCCTAGTTTAAAACTTGTTGGTACCAAGATAGAAAGTACCAGGTAAAGAGGTAAGGGCGGTGGCTGAAAAGTGAGTTTGTGCTTTATAGCCTGTGTTATAAATTATAGCTATGAAACAGAATCCCATTATGCTGCTGGCACAGGGAGAAGGACCACACCCATGTTGGAGGCTTGTCTGGGAAAGTGTGTGTATACTGAGTTTTAATGAACATGACACACAGGATTTAATCGTCAAGAATACTAAAATCCTGTGGTATTGGGTGCATCATAGCAACATTTTATTCTAAACGTCCACATGTAAATATTGCCCCTGCATGTCCCTATATGTATGTATATGTGGTAAAGCAGTAAGGACTGAGAATGAAAACAGTACTTTTAGGCATTTGTGTTAAAAATAATAGATGGTGAGGAAATTTTAATTCAAAACTTCCTGAAGGCCTTAAAATTTCAGCTTTCTTCTGAATATATGTAGTATTATTTTTTAATTGTTAGGGCCAAAACAGAATAAGGCATATATATAAAGATTTTAGAATTCTTTAAAAAAAATTTTTTTTTTCAACGTTTATTTATTTTTGGGACAGAGAGAGACAGAGCATGAACGGGGGAGGGGCAGAGAGAGAGGGAGACACAGAATGGGAAACAGGCTCCAGGCTCTGAGCCATCAGCCCAGAGCCCGACGCGGGGCTCGAACTCACGGACCGCAAGATCGTGACCTGGCTGAAGTCGGACGCTTAACCGACTGCGCCACCCAGGCGCCCCAAAGATTTTAGAATTCTTAACCCAGAGAAGTTTAGTCTCTTTACTGTAACTTTGAGAGACTTAGGTAAGATGTTCAGTAGCTGTCAAAAGCAAACCACTTAATTTCTTTCTTTTCTTGAGTCATTGAACATCCTGATAGCATAGAGAAACCGTAGTCAGAACATAATAAAACCCATCCCCCCTTCTAATTTTTGGGTTTTTTTGCCCATTGATTCCCAGTGGAACCAGTTTTTTAGTTGCTCTGGACATCAGACCATTGACTGCTCTGCTTACTGCTTTCTCCAGTTTGCACCTTATATAGGTAGACTCTGACTTTTCTGAACTCTTCTATTGGTTCTTAGAATTTTTGTAGATTCCTTGGCATTTTCTGCATAAACAAATCATCTGCAAATAGGAATAGTTTTATCTCTTTGAGATCTGTATACTTTTTCTTTTTCTTGCCTTATTGCATTGGCTAGAATTTCTTCCACTACATTAAGTACAAGTGGTGAGAGTAGACATCCTTACATTGTTCCCAGTCTTAGGTCCTTCACAACTAAGCATGATGTTAGTTGTAGTTGTTTTTGTAGATATTCTTGAGCAAGATGAGGCAGTTCTCATCTATTCCTATTTAAGTTTTTATCACAAGCAGGTGTTGGATTATTTTTGGAGGGGAAATCATCAGCTTATTTTAAATATTGAGATATAATGGGGGTGCCTGGGTAGCTCAGTTGGTTAAGCGTCCGACTTTCGCTCAGGTCATGATCTCACACTCTTGGGTTTGAGCCCCACAGCAGGATCTGTGCTGACAGCTCAGACCCTGGAGTCTGCTTCAGACTCTGTGTCTCCCTCTCTCTCTGTCCCTCCCCGGCTCATGCTTTATCTTTCTCTTTAAAATAAACAAACATTTTTTAAAACGTAATAAATACTGAGATATAATCTATAGACAAAAATTTACTTTTTTTATTTTTTTATTTTTTTATTTATGGGACAGACAGAGACAGAGCATGAACGGGGGAGGGGCAGAGAGAGAGGGAGACACAGAATCGGAAACGGGCTCCAGGCTCCGAGCCATCAGCCCAGAGCCTGACGCGGGGCTCAAACTCACGGACAGTGAGATTGTGACCTGGCTGAAGTCGGACGCTTAACCGACTGCGCCACCCAGGCACCCCAAAAATTTACTTTTTTAAAGTGTATAATTCTGTGTTGTTTTGTATATTTATGAAACTGTGCAGTTATCTAATTCCATAGTATTTTTATCACCTCCAAGGAGACCTATGATCGTTAGCACTCCCTGTTTTCTTCTCCCAGTCCCTGACAGCCTGCTTTCTGTCTCTAGGGAGTTGCTTATTCAGGACATTTTATATAAGTGCAGTCATAGATTTTATGGCTTTTTGTATATGACTTCTTTCACTTAGCGTAATGTTTTCAGGGTTTATCCGTGGAGTAGCATGTATCTGTATTTCATTCCTTTTTATGGCTGAATAATATTTCACTGCTGTATAGATACGACCTTATGTTATCCATTCATCAGTTGATGGACATTTGGGTTGTTTCCACTTTTTGACTATTGTGAGGAATGCTACTGTGAATAATTTGTCTGAATGTTGTTATGTGGAGGTGTTTTATGTGGGAATTGAAATTCCCTTGCTGTGGAATTGCTGGGTCATGTGGTAACTCTGTGTTTAACTTTTTGCCTAACTGGCACATAATTTTCTAAGTGTGTACCATTTACATTCCCACCAACAATGTATAAGAGTTGTAATTTATTCACAGTTAAGTCAATACTTGTTATTGTCTGTCTCTTTGATTATAGTCATCCTAGTGG